CAGCCCGGCGTGTTCCGGAGGCCGGATTTGGAGCCGCTGGGGGGCTTGGAGCTCTGCGGACATTCTCGGGCCATGGTCTGAGGGTCAGAGTTGGGGGTCTGCAGGTGAGGAACGGGTTCCGCAGCCGGCGGCACGCTGGGCACGGGACATCCTGAGAGCGGGTGGGCGGGCGACGCGGGGTGCCCTGCCACGGGGATTGTGAGGTTCAGCTGGTCCAGAGACTTGCAGCCTTCTGAACAGAAGGGAAGAAGAGACACATGTAGTTCACGTGAAACAACCGCACAATCAAGCGCCGCTCTCCCCCAAAACTCCCTTTATTGCATTACAGCAAAGACCTCTCGCGCCACGTTTGCGTTTTGCACCGTCACCGGATTCTAAAAGCAAAGACATTTCTGAGCCTGCCTATGACACTGCGCGACAGCAAACCCATCGAAATCCCCCGAAGTAAAGCCAGCCAGTAGTACACATAAGGCTGGCCAGTGTCCAAAGCAGTTCCAGCCTGTCAATATGTATAAAAGAAATAAAAGGCTTATCAAAACGACGGGAAGGATTAAACTGAGCTAAGCAGAAGCAGCCAGCTTCTTTCAAAAAACTGAATTCTACTAATCAGGGAAAACTGAGAAGATTCTCCAAATTAAGTCCAGAAATACGAAACAACGCAGAACAAAACCGGGTAAGACGATGCATGCCGCTGCCTTCAGCAGAACGGCGTCCCTCCTGCAGACGCGTGAACCACACAAGAGGTTTGTGGCTTGGCTGGCGCTGCCTCGCAGAACCCCCGCAGCGCTCCAGGAGTCACGAATCGAGCCCTCAACCCCAGCAACGCCTCCAGCTGAAGAGCCGGTCGGGTCTGAATGACCTCCCATCAGCTCCCAGCCTGCCGCGCGGCACGCCCCTGCGTCAGAGCCTCATTTTTGGGGTGCCCAGAAGAGCAGCTTCAGGCAACCTGCAAGAGGTCTGAGGGACTGCAGTGCTGCAGAGCGGCTACAAAAAAACATTCAGAAAAGCGAAAAAACATCTGAAGTCACCAAGCTCCAGCTGACTAATTACCAGGAAACTGCAGCCTCCTGTCCCCTGCTCGACCCTCCCCAAGAGGCAACAAAGCCGCCGCTGAA